TGCCAGGCGTGCAATATCACTGTTTCTAAAGCTGATTCAGCTTTCGAATGCAATTTTTGCAAACGGTGGGTGCACTGCCGTTGCGACAAAGAGGTACCGAAGTCATACTACGAGTTTATGAGAAATAACCCGTGCCCCTGGTTTTGGTACATCTGTCCAATCTGTCGCCCTGGCATAGTCACACAGAGCGTGTCTGCGGTTAGCAGAAACAACACGCCGCCCTTGTGTCCCAACACGGTCTTATGTAGCTCCCCACCTGCTAACATCACATTGCCAAAACTTGGCACAGACAGTAAGAAGGACACTCCAGTCCTACTGGACGAAAATGCCAATTTTCACAAGGTGAAGATTCACAAGGTTGGACCTAAAACATCAAGGAAAGATAGAATTAGAGAAGCGCCACTTACATCCACAAGCAAGCTTGGCAACACAATAAAGGCTGGCCAGAACCCGATGAAACCTAAAGTTGCTGATGCTGCAAAGGAATACGAGAAGCCAAAGGCCAAACTTAAGTCTGAGGTTAATCGGTCTAATTCGCTCATCCTCTTTAACGTACCTGTGAGCAAGGACAGCTTGCTTGAACAGCGGGCCCTGTTTGATCAGGAACAGTGGTCCAACCTGTGCAATAAACTAGGTCTGAATATTAGTTCAGTGAAATTGTGCAGACTGTACAGGGGTGTCCACACATCTCAATGTAAGCCACTCCCATTACGGGTTACACTGGACTCTGCCGAAGAGGCCGAAAAGGTACTATTGATGGCTCATGTATTAGCCATCGACAGAAGCTCTAACATAAGGGTGAGACAAGACAGACCATGGGCTGTCAGACAAATGGCGAGGGAGTCACCGGAACTTTTGCCTTCCACCTCTATGGTAGTGCACGGTGTTCCGGAGCTGGAAACGGGTACTGCCTGTGAAAAACACGTGCATGACGTACAGCAGTGGAGATGGCTGTCGTCTCAGATGGCCCTCGGCGCTTCTGGAGCCATCTCCGCTTCAGTGACACTCGAGCGATGCAGTTCTGAGAATAACAGTCTGTGCCACCCAAGTGTCCTGCCTAAATCCAAGGGAAAAAACCACAACGGGCCGGTTCCATTGGAACTGGCCAACTAGTCCCAACACTAAGTTCCCTACCAGCAGGCTTCACGTCAACTACCCCACAACACGCTGAGGTTGCAAGACTCACTGTCAGCTGCCTGTATAACAATGTGAGGGGGCTGAGAGTAAAAATAGGTGAACTCCGAAATCTCCAAGCACATCTACAACTGAAAATAATCATTCTCACCGAAACATGGCTAACCCCCACTATCCCCGATAATGAAATCAGTATAGGTGATATGGTCTTGGTCAGGAGAGACAGGGATAATAAGGAAGGAGGGCATATACTTTGATAGGCAACTTAAATGTGTGCGCGCAACGGATCCACCACTTACTGAACTCCCAGACTCCATATGGTGTCATTTCACCGTAGGCCACACCAAGCATTTACTTGGTGGCATCTACCGATCTCCCACCTGTGGGGCAGAGCACAATCAGCTACTGCTCAGCACTATCACAGGGATACGAGACTTGAGCTATGACCAAACCACCATTGCTGGAGATTTCAATGCCCCATCACTGAACCTTGGCTCGGGGTATGCTAAGGGAAAATTCGGCCGAAATCTACTGCAAGCTATTCGGAACACGGAACTGACTGAGAACGTTGGAGACGACACTAGGTGGGGCCCTAGAGGAAAGTCATCAAAACTAGACTACATCCTAACTAGTGACCAACTACTCGTCGAAAAGGTCCAGGTCATGACTCCTCTAGGAAGTAATGACCATGCAGTCATAGGCTTCGACCTCGTTCTCCGTGAGCACTTGCAGTGGGACGCTACGCAACCATGTCTGTGTTATAGCAAGGCTGACTATGCTGAAATGCGGAGGCTCTTGTCCGATGCAGACTGGCCCTTAGCATGGGATGAGCTGTCTGTGGATGAACACTGGGAAGCGGTAAAAAAGATTATTCATACAGCGATCTCGGATACCGTCCCTTTAGTCACAGCACAGCCCAAAAGAAAATCATCACGGTTAAAGAGAGGCACACAGCGTATTCTGCAAGCAAAGCGGAAGGCTTGGTTTACGTGGCGCGTATCTAAAAGCCAGATCGACCATGATGCATACCTGGAACTCAGGAACCGGTGCAATGCAAAAGTCAGGAGGGACAGAAGGTCATTCCAGGCTAACCTTGCTAAAAAACTCCTGGCAAACCCGAAGAATTTGTACCGATTCATGTCGGAAAGGAAACCAACCAACCAAGGGGCTTGCGCCTTAGTAGGCCGAAACGGTCAATATCTCACTAGTCTGGAGATGGCTGAAACATTCAGTTTAGCCTTCGCCAAACAGCTAAACAGCAATGTGGGTATTACCGTTACGAACCAAAATAGTGGCATGACTATTTCACAGGAGGAAGACCAAATAGCCACCCCCCAAATAAACCCTGCAATAGTACTGAGAAAGCTGCAGCGACTCATACCTGGGAAGTTCCCAGGTTGTGATGACATCAGGCCATCTGTTCTGAAACAGTGCGCCGAAGCTCTCTGTAGGCCTTTATGCGACTTGTTCCAACACTCCATGGAATCGGGGAAACTGCCAAAGGAATGGAAAAGAAGCATCCTTTCTCCGATCTTCAAGGGTGGGGATAGGCAAAATCCCACCAGTTATAGGCCAGTAGCTCTACTCCCAGTGGTATCGAAAGTACTGGAAAGTATTATTGATGATCACATCAGGGAATATCTGGGTAGGTCTAAAATACTCCATGAAGCCCAACAGGGTTTCAGGAAAGGGAGATCCTGCGTCACTAACTTATTATCAGCTTGGGACGATTGGACATCATGCTGGGATATGAATGTTCCTGTCCATGTGATCTTTCTAGACTTTGAGAAGGCATTTGACGCTGTTCACCATGACCTTCTCCTACACAAAATAAGCCAGGTAGGTATAGGTAAACCACTTCTGTCATGGTTGAAGGACTACCTAACTGAAAGGCAATTTTGCATCAAGGTCAATCGAGTCCGATCATGTTGGCACAGCTCGTCATCAGGAGTGTCGCAGGGTTCTATCCTGGGACCACTGATGTTCTTGATTTTTATCAATGATTTACCATGCCGTCTAAGCTGCCCGACTCTTCTATACGCTGATGACGTAAAGATATGGAGGGCGATAAAGTGTCCGGAGGACTCAGATAGACTGCAGGATGACCTAAGGCTTCTGGAAGACTGGGTGGTAACCAGTGGCATGACTTTCAACCTGAAAAAGTGCAAAGTAGTGAAGTTACGCACCTGTAGACTGCAGAATGCAAGTTACACCCTGTGCAATGAAAGCTTGTCCTGCTCAACGTCGGAACGTGACTTAGGTCTAGTTCTAACGGAGAAAATGGACACAAGCGTGAATTACACGGGGGACGTAGCGAGGGCATATGCGGTCATACACTTTACACATAGACAATTAGGTGCACTCACTCCTGAGCTCTTTCTAAGGTTGTATAAAACATACGTCAGACCGCATCTTGAAGTGCATAATATCATTGCACCCCCACTGCTTAAAAGAGACGCCAATCTCTTGGAAAGAGTCCAACGACGGGCAACAAAAGGAGTGGTTGGTCTCCGAAATAAACCATATGACGAAAGGCTGAAGAAATTAGGCCTATTCACACTCAGTTACCGTCGCCTGAGGGGGGATTTAATTACTGCCTACAAAATAACAAATGATCAGAATCACCCAAACAAAGGTGTTCTGCCATTGAGTAGGTATAGGCTTCCTCGTGGAAATCCTAGAAGGATAGCTCATCAGAGGGCAAGGACCCGGGTGCGCTCCCACTTCTTTTCCCTGCGGGTTTGCCGTCCCTGGAATTCCTTAACGGCAGATGTAGCTATGGCACCATCTGTGGACGCCTTTAAGCGAAGGCTGGACAACCATGCAGCGACACAAGGACTTCATCCAAATGGCCTATCCCCTAAAATCGCATATACCATTCAAAGATAGACAATTAAACTGGTCGTTTTACTTAATAATAATAGTATATTCTCATTTTTTTAACATGAGGAACGCCAGTTTACATGCATCATCAATTCGATAAATTACACAAGATTAGTAAGTATAGTTAGTAATGATAATATAATAGGGTACATATTTATTCATACAGATATAGGACACACAAGTTGTATAGGAATGGATAAGAATTATTTAAGTTACATGGATTACGGTTTAATAACATGGTTGTTGTCATTTTATCTTTAGTTTGCGGGAAAAATCGGATAACTGGTGATTGAATGGAACACACCAAGAAATATAGAGATATTGACTTCGCATTAACAAAAAAACCCAAGTATGCGTTGGGTGGATTACAGATACTTGGGAAAATAAATAAAGCTTGAAGTCAAGTCCCTCATAAAACAATAAAATGCGTCTTACAATAACATATTCCCACTTTATGCACATGAGGACCCCAGTTGACAGGCATCATCAATATCATAATAATGCACACATGGAGTATACATGTTTACGATTTTTCACTAACACAAAATATATACACAAGTGAAGATAATGAAATATTGACCGTAAGATCACTCTGCATAAGTTAAAACAGCTTATATGGCATAATCCTAGGCACCATTATTGTTTGAATCTGCTGAAAATGAGCGCAACAACTGAGTGTTGCGTTACATTTGGTTGATATGGTGGGCTATTTATTTTTATTTTTATTTTTTTTTTTTATTTTTGGTTACAGCTTGATGCCACACCGTATTTTCAGTACAAGTATGGCATATTCAGCATGGATATCGGTAGCCCAAATTTCACAGGCCGACCATAGATATCGGGTGTGCGCCGGCAGGGGCTCGAACCTCGGACCATGTGCATGGTCGGCGAGAGTCCTAACCACTGTGCCACCGACGCAAAAGTATAAAAATGGCTTGTAAAACGCTAGTTAGTTTACCTTAAACGATGTTTTAAGCAATATAATCTGCAAGAGGCTCACCACAGCAATTAGTATTCAGAGAAACTTGCACTGAAGTAATAATGATTCGGCAACCGGTAGAGTTTTTATTCTTTTCGATCTTGAACTAGAACGACTGCGGACCAATCTATACAAAATGTCGAATAAACCATGCAGGAGCAGAATATGACCACTGTATGAGTGAGAGGGATCTGAAATGCAGCTGTCGGCATATTTTCGTCATTTCATAGATATCCAGGCTTATTGGCTGTGTGGATAGTGATTTGGATTTGTCAACATGATCGACATATGGAAGAATATCCAGATGTGAACTGCAACTTGTTTGCCTTGTGTTGGGTTTGATTACCCTGCGATTTGGACATATTCCGCGATGTCGCTGTGATGATGGGAAGTGTGCATATGCTGTAAATGCATTGCTTTGTTGGCTGCAATCTCCACTGAGTGTATACAACGAGAACTGTGGATTCATGTATTTCCTCATCACTGTGGATAAAATATCGCCGCATTCCTTTTGGAAAGGAGACCAGTTGGTGGATTATAAGTGATTTCCAAGTAACTTATATCCTTCCATGTGATGTTGTGGTAAGTCTCGACCTTGTTTTCTCATATTTCATTCGTATGTTGGTTATGGTTGACGCTTTGTATCAGGTAGACATAATTCGATCGACTCTTATGTGTATGGGTGTTATTTTCATGACTGCTGCTTTTTTGTCTGAAATTATAGATAAAGGCAAAAGAAACAACAGGTGTAGTCTCCAAGTTCATACATTAAATGGGCCTATAATTTATGTAGCTCTTACATGGGAATTAGCACTGGTATCATTTGCAAACCCACTTAGTGTATCATTAAGAGCTTTTTCAAAGGACACCAGTGAGCTTGCTAGTCGCATTTCCTCAGGTAGTTTGTTCCATATTTGGGCATACCTAATCATGAAAAATTTTTGCCTGGTGGCTGTTTTACATTGTTCTATAGCCACCGTACCTTGAGTGTGTCTAAGGTTATATCCAGTGTCTTCTGAAAACCGAGTACAATTAGTAGGTGTATACACTATGTGGTTAAGTAGTTCATAGAAGAGTACCAGATTTAGTTCCAGTCGCCTTAACCGTAATGTTTCTAGTCCTAGAATTTCACATATGGTAGAGTAGTTTGTGCCGTTTTCGGTTCCGATTACTTTTAGCGTGAAGTACCTCTGTATTCCTTCTACTCTCAGTTTGTCTTCTATGCGTATACTACTAAATATGAATGAACAATAGTCTAGGAGTGGGCGCACACAAACCTTGTACAGTAGTATTCTGGATTCGCTTCTGTAGAAGTTCCTGAGTAGGAAACCAATAAGCCTGCGTGATTTCGATACTTGTTTCGAGATATGTTCAGAAAATGATAGATTGTGTGAATATGTCAGTCCTAGATCTAGCACAGATTTGAGTCTAGGGATTTTGTGGCCCTGAATTGCTAGGTCGAGTTCTAGGTTGGGACAGCCTATGCAGAGCCAGCCACACTTTTCGACATTAAACTCAAGTCTCCAGGTGTCACACCATATATCCATTTTTGTTAATTCTTCATGTATGGAGTTCATAGTTGTACCGATATCTGTGTTTGTGCAGGTATATGTCACCTTTAAGTCATCTGCATACAGTATTGGCTTGCCTATACTCAAGCATTCACATACACTGTTTATGTATAAAATGAAAAGGAAGGAGCCCAATACACTCCCCTGGATGACACCACTGCTGATTGGTCTAGGCTTGGAGATCATCGAGTCAGCATTTTTTGTCTGGTTCCTGTCACAGAGAAATGATTTTATCCATTTGTGAAGGGGGTTGCGTATCCCTAGTGAGCATAGCCTGCTGACTAACAGACTATGTGGGACTCTGTCAAAGGCTTTCCTGATATCGAAATAGAGGATAATTACTAGTTCTCTCCTAGTTCTCTCTCTTCTATAGGTGACTTCTTTGAAAAAGTCTATATGGCAAGTGACGCAAGATCTTTTCTTAAGGAATCCGTGTTGTGACTGGTTGATGAGTTTGTGTTTTAGAAAGTAGTCTGACATTTGATCTTTGATTACTTTCTCCATGATCCTTGATATGACAGGTGTTATATTGATAGGCCTATAATTACATGCACTAGTTTTGGCCCCTCCTTTATGCTTAGGTAGTATATACGTGTTTTTCCAAGTTTCAGGGTAGGTCCCAGTCACTAGTGAGAGGGTGAATATTCTAAGTAATAGTACTATCATATCCGGGCCACCGTTTTTGTATATGATAGATGGTATATCATCTATCCCACAACTACCGTTAGCTTTTAATGTCTTTACCGCTGATGCTATATTTTGTATATTAAAGTTGATTTCACCTAACTCGTAGTTATTTTCGCAGGTTATATCGAGGATTGGAGACGGATGCGCTTTGGTGTTATTGGAGAACCATTGGCTTAGGAGTTCACAAATAATCTGGGGATCATAAATTATACCTTTGTGCTCCAAGTGGCCAACATTATTTTCTTTACCCTTGTTTAGTCGTTTTTGCAAGATCTTGCAGAGTTCCTGAGTTTTAGAGGTGCCCCTTAGGGCTTTATTTTCCTCGAGTTGTGCCTTCATTTTGTCTCTCCTCAAGATTTTTAAATGTTTCATGTATCTGGTGTAATGCACTAAATTCTTTATATAAATAAAATTTCCTTTTCAATTTCCTCAGTTTTAATCGCGTTTTGCGGTCTATGAAAAGAGTTGGTGTCCTTAAGGCAGATTTTAGGGGTGCGATTGTATCTCTTACCGAACTGACCGTCTTGTAGAAGGTATCAAGTGTTACTTCTAAGTTATCATTGGTAAAGTATTCATCCCAGTCAGAGCTTCTCAAGAGCGTTGGTAGGAATTCCCAGTCGGCATTTCTATAGTCCCTAAATTGATAGTGAACCGGGGAATTTTTAGGTGTGTGTCTTCACATTCCCTTCAGTCTTACTCTCCTGACAGCTTTAACTACATCTATTATTATTATTATTAATATTATTATTATTATTATCATTATTACTGGTATATATATATATATATGTATACCGGTTGACTGACTGTTGTTACGTTTTCTTATTCTTTCTCTGTCTGTTAGTCTGAATACCTTTACTAATTATATCTATTATTATTATTATTATTATCTCTTTTCCATTGACGACGATACCGAAGGACTAACTGGTGAAAGGATCAACTCCATTCACAGTAGTAACAGTCTTAACACACTTCATACTACAAACCCCATATAATTAACCCCAGCACTACTCCTTTTGGAGTCAACCAAAGCTACGACAGTCGAGTGGCGGGACGAGCTACACAGACGTTTACCGAAGATCAGGAACCTCTACCTCACAATCAAGAGGCGAGCACAACGAAATCAAATTGGTTTATACTAGCTCGTAAAAACGATATTGGATATTGGATTGTGATTTCATAGACATAACTTAGGCTCATACGTGAAAGAAAGTTATTATCCTTTAATGAGGAAAAGTTGTTCAGAAGTTAAGCAGGACTTTATTTTTCAGTTTATTTGTGTATATACTATTGTGCACCGAGTTGCACTGAGTACTTAGTGCAACTGTATGTAACTGCATTTACATAAAGTGAAACATTACGAATTCTCATGCTTTTAGAATAAAAAACATTATTATTATCATTAAGTTTAGTAATGAATAATAGAATTTCTTCCACGTCAATTTTATTTAATTGAAGTTGTAATCTGTGTAGGCCCTTAAAGGAATAAATTCGGCATGGAGAACTCCTATGTAAACCGAAAGTGCTTTTAGTTTAGTAAATCTTACTGACTTCCTGTATAAATTTGGTATTTGTCAAGTGTATATTTCAAATCTGCTGGAGTATTCAGTAAAGTAAAAGTTGTGGTGCATGATTCCAAGACTTGTTGTAGTCATTGGTATTGCCAGGATACCACTTACTCGTTTTATGCAACCGAAATATACAAATCTCGCTTTATTGAGGAAACACTATAATGCCTGCAAAAGTATTGCGTCAGTTAATGAGTTTCATAAATTCTACAGAATGTTTTCTATTCAGTGATTACTGTTTGCGAATTATCTGAGAAAATACATTTCCAACTGGGATGTAACACAAGGCTGAATTCTTAAACTGTCATCCTTATATCATTTCAATGCAATCACACATATATCAGTAGGATAGTCTATAAATGACTTTAGGGACTTATCATCATCAACTTACAGTTTGCTGATGATACTGTACACCTAGACTATGAGAAGTAACCCCTGATACTGGAAAATATGAAAAGAATACCGGTGTTTGATTATAGGTGTCTGTGTTCTATCTCATGAGTAAAGCAGTATAATATGGCGATTGCTGTTGAGGTTACGCATAAAGTGTTAGGTGAGGAGGGTAAGTTATTCTTCAAGGTAGGGAAGCTGAATAGGTTGAGATGGCTGTAACACGTGATGACATACCAAGCCATCGCCTTCCTCGAAGGATAATGTTAGCCAGGACATGTTAAGGTTCAAAATGTGTTTGAGTCGGTCGAATGAAAAACTGCTATTGGTTCATAAAATCGTTGACAGTCAGCTAGAAGAACTACTAGATATATGTCTGCAAGTCTTTGTTTATGGCACAGATGCATTCACTCTGTGTAATCTCATGTATCTATTCAACTCATGTTGTCATTATTTATTTTCCCTCAAATTTTCGCTCGTTTAACTTCCATTTAGTTTTATGTTTCTACCTTTGTGTGGTGCATGGAATGTGGTAAACTGAACAGTTGGACTTCTTTGCGAAGTCATACTGAAAGCCAGGCAGAATGACACAGGCTAGGCATAACTAAATGCGAAGCACTGAATAATGATCTCCAGAATGTCAACAAATGATAATTGCAGTTCTTAATCTTGTTCTTTGCTAAATGACAAATAGATATCTTTCAGTAATCTCTTCTTCCACCCGGGATTGTCTCCTACTTTGCAAGTGTTTTTTGTGCTCTATCACTTTCGTGCTAAGCTTTAGGTTATTCAGCATATGCCGTTATTGACTAAGGACCTAGATGACACTAGTTGAGTAAGGTTTCGGTCGTGCAAACACGAGTCCTGTGCAGGTGATTGGTTGCATTATCATTTCCCAAATGGAATGCAGCATACTGTATATTAAGGTAAATCTTCCGCCTTGCTTGGTGAGGGTGGTGTTCCTCAGCGTGCTGTTATCTCTCCTTTTCTTTTTTCTCTCTGGTCTTACATGACTTTTCTCTTTCTAATGAGAGCAACTTCGTCAAATACGCTGGTGATCTGACCGTCGCACTTCCTCTCATGTCACAATGTGTCACCAGGAGGACTTTATTTTTCAGTCTATTCGTATACATACTATTGCGCATCGAGTTGCACTGCGATTCCACATGTAGCGAAAGATTATGAATACCTTGCTCTTCTCTTCTGCATAAGAAAGTTACTTCACAAGAATCGCTATATTAACATCAGTAAGGACAAATATAAATTTCTCCACTTAAGTGTTGTGAGTTAAT